CAATTTTAAAAATGAAAGAAAAGAAACATAGTTATAAAGAATAAAATGACAATAAATACATACCTATCAATAATCAATTTAAATGTAAATGGCATAAATGCTCTAATAAAAAGACATAGGGTAGCCCTGGCTGGCATTTCTCAGTCATTAGAGCACTGGCCTGTGCACAGAAGGGTCGTGGGTTTGATTCCTTGTCAATGGTGTATACTTGGGTTGCAGGTTCCATCCCCATCCCCAGTCGGGCTCATGTGGGAGGCAACCAATTGATGTGTCTCTCACATTGATGTTTTTTTTCTCTCTCTCTTTCTCTCCCCACTTCTCTCTTCCCTTCCACTCTCTGAAAAAAAAGTTAGTAGAAAAAATATCCTCATTCGAGGATTCAAAAAAAAAAAAGGCACAGGGTGGCTGAATGGATAAGAAAATAAGACTAATATATATATACTTTCTACAAGAGACCCACTTCAGAACAAAAAACACACAGAGACGGAAAATAAAGGGATAAAATAAGATATTTTGAGAAAGTGGAAATGGCAAAAAAAAAAAAAAGCTGGGGTAGCAATACTTATATCAGACAAAATAAACTTAAAAAACACACATCCTATATAATAAAAGCCTAATATGCAAATTGACCAACCAGTAGAATGACTGGTGGAAAGACTGGTCTGTATGATGCGCACTGACCACCAGGAGGCAGATGCTCAATGCAGGAGCTTCCCCCAGCCCACAGGCCCCAGGCCAGACAAGGCAGGTGCCAGCAGGGGGCCTCCAATCACCCTGCTGGTCACCCTGCAGAGGGAGGTGACCGGCAGCGGCAGCGGGGGGTGGGGCTGGCCAGTGAGTGGGCGGCGCCAGGCTGGCCAAGGCAGAGCTGCCCCCAGCCCACAGGCCCCAGGCCAGACAAGGCAAGTGCCAGCGGGAGCCCCACAACCCTGATTATCCTGCCGGTCACCTCCCACAGAGGGAGGCAACCAGCTGCAGCAGTAGGGTGACTGGGGGTGGGGCTGGCCGGCAAGTAGGCTGGTGCCACCCACCACCCCCGATTGCCCCACTGGTCACCCCACAGATCAGCCCTGATTGCTGTCCAGGCCTAGGGACCCTACCCATGCATGAATTTCATGCACCGGGCCTCTAGTACTATAATAACAGGCAAAGAAGAACTCTACATAATGATAAAGGGATCAACCCAACAACAGGATATAACCATTGTAAACATTTATGGACCCAACATAGGAGCACCTACCAGTAAATAGAATAAGCAAATGTTGAGGAGCTATTATAGGGAGGGATTGACAGTAACACAGTCATAGTATGGAATTTTACCACCCATTGACATTAGTGGATAGATCTTCCAGACAGGAAATCAACAAGGAAACAGTGGCCATAAATGACACACTAGATCAGATACATTAAATTGATATCTTCAGTGCATTTCACCCCAAAGCAGCAGAACACATATATTCTTTTCAAGTGCACGTGGATTGTTTTCTAGGCGAGACCTCTGTTAGAACACAAAACAAGTCCCAATAAATTTAAGAAGATTGAAATCGTATCAAGCATATTCTCTTACCCTAGATATGAAATTATGCCTACATGGTCAACTAATATTTGACAAATAAAACAAACATATAAAATGGAGTAACAACAAACTATTTAGTAAATGGTGTTGGGTAAATTGACACGTTAAGTGTGTGTGTGTGGGGAAACTGGACTACCTTCTTACATTATACACAAGTATGAACTCAAATGATTTAAAGACATAGATGTTAGACTCAAAACCATAAAAATCCTTGAAGAAAACATAAGCAGTAAAATCTCTCTTAGTAATATTTTTTTGGATACATCTCCTTGGGGAAGGGAAACAACAACAACAAAAAAGATAAACAAATGAGAAGACGTGGTGGTGGTGGTGGGGGGGGGCGGTACTGGAGGCCCGGTGGGCATGCAGGCACAGTGGTTAGGGCATGAGATGTGGACAGGGCAAAACAAGAGTCTGCTACAAGGATCCTTAAAGGGGACACAAAAGCAACTGAGAAGGAGCAGCCAGAGTAGAGGCGGGAGGAAAATCAGAAGAGGCACGGATCCAGGGGACCTGTTTGTGTGGACAATCACAAGGCGATACATTTTAAGCACATGTGCATCCCACTTCCATTGTGTCTGTACTTTATACCGACAGCCGGCCAGGGGCAACTCCACAAAGCCCAACCCCGGTCTCTGTTGAGCCATTCACACCCGGTCCAGGGTCCATTTGGGGGCGCCCAAGCCAGGACGGGGGTGTGGGTCGGGGTGTGTGCGCGGGAGAGGGCCTGGGGAAGGGGAGCTCACATCTGTGGTTGGCCACAAAGGGGGCCTGGAAACCTTCCCTGGAAAATAATGAGCAGAGAAACTTGACTGATTAGTTGCATCCCGGATAATCCTGGGCTAGAGGCTGCAGAGGGCTCTGATTTGTCTGTGCCTGCCCGCTAACCTACTGAGGAGGGGTTCCCCCAAACGCTGGCGCCCCCCTCGTAGGCTGGCACCTGCCGGGGCGCTCTGGGCGCGCAGACTCCAGGCCGGCCCGCTCTCTCCTGCCAAGCCCCCTAAAGAAACTAGAAGTGTTTCCCTTGCTTTGGAGGGCTCTGCTCGAAGCCCTTCGCGGACTGAGCTCTTCTCAGGGGTTGGGGCTCTGAGCGGGTCCAACGGAGCCCGAGGTCTCCGTGTGCGCTGGAGAGGACCGTGGATCTCCCGCAGCAGCTGGGGGCGGGAGCCGGGGCGCGGATTAGCAGGGCGGGGGCGGTGGTGGCGGTAGGGAAAGCAATTCTCACTGGGGAGGGAGCAGTGAAAGTGCTGCGAAAAGGAAGGGGGGGGCAGGGTTCAGCTCTCCCCCCAATCCCACTCCCATGTCCCGCGGGTCCCTCCCCGCAGGCGGGGCCAGTGGAGGCATCAGGGACGCTTCTATCCTGGAATTGCCAGGCCTCCAACCCCAGCTCCTTATCAGGTCTCTTGCTTCTCTTCCCGGGTTTCTCTCTCCGCGTCCAGGGTGAGCGGATTGACAAGCCTCAGTTCCTCTCATTTGGAAATGCGTTTTGTAGGATCCTTCCGAGTGCTCCTGCCGCCGTGCGGGGTGGCCGAAGGTGGGGTCTTCCGGTGACCTCCCGCGTCCCCGGGCAGAGGCTGGGGAGGGAGATCCCGGGATCCCGGCCCAAAGCCGAAAACGACGCCGGCGTCTAACGCCGCCCCGCCCCGCAGCAATTCAAAAGGCAATTATCCCAAAGGAAAGTTATTGTGTTGCTAATCCCGGGAACAGCTTGCGAGGGGAGATCTGGGTCTTCCTTTAATATTTGCGAGCTAATGCTCAGACTTTTGTAATTATCTTTGTCGGAGGCCCCGCGTTTCATCTGCGTGTTCAGCGGAGGACCCGCTCGAAGGCGCGGCGACAGGGAGACCCACTTCGCTGGGCTCTGGTTCCGTCGTGAGCGCAGGGAGCCGCTCGGCGTCGGGCCAGGCTCGCAGATTTGCTGCCTCCGCGCGGGGTGACTCCCGACTGCTCGGACCTCGGGGGTGGGACTGAGGAGAGTCCGCTTCCCGGGTTCTGGGTTTGGGAAGGGTGGGTTCGGGGCTCCCAGCTGTTGTGGTTGGGTGGGCTCGAATTTTCGGCGTGGCGGCCAGGACTGGCTTCCTCACGTGCTGTGCTTGGCGCCAACTTGAACCACTACGGCGTTTCACGTGAAAACCAGGCTTTTTTGGACTAATCATAAGCTGACAATCACTTGTTAGCCTCCGAGAAAAGCTGTCTGTCCCAATGGACAGTCCCTATTTTCCAATGTACACCCCACGGCCCCCATGTGGGGTTGCAAGATGGAATGCTGGCACGTACTCATACTGAAAAAAGTATCCATTGTTTACCTGCAGTGTCAGGTGCACGGGCCTCCAGTAAGGCACTTTGCTAAACCTGCCGCCTGGTCCTATCGCGGGAGCGGGCCACCCAACTCCTGCTGGTCTCTATTTCTCGCCCTCCCCTCCCCCCCAGTAGCTTTGCGACCCCCTGGAGCACTAGGGGGTGGGTTTGCCTGGAGGCAGAGTGGGCAGGGATTCAATGAACTTTTTCCACCTCCCCGCTGGCGATTTTCGGAGGAGGCCTGCTCGGTGCCGGCGGTGTGGTGGGAGCGCTGGCGGGGGTCGTCTCCGCCGCATCAGGGGGCGTGTGACTGTGAACGGAGCCCGAGGTCTCAGGGTGCGGCTGGCTGGTGGAGGCGGGGCTTTGGGGGCAACTGCGACCCGAACCTCCACCCAGAGAATCTGGAAGGAAAGGGAATTCCATGCCGCACTGAAACCTGCGGCTTTTAGAGGGACGGGCAGATAGCGGGGTCCCTGTCTCCTCCCACCGAAAACGGGGGTGGTGGCGGGGCAGGGGGACAGCTGGGAGGAGATGGGAAGAGAGGGGACTGCAGCTGCGAGGGCGGCTACCGGAGGGAGGGGAACTGGTGGCGTCCCAGCTCACGGGGTCCCAGGCGATGACGCACCCGCGCCGGGCTGATTGGAGCCCTCCTGGCCCTCCGCGCCCGAGGGAGCCCCAGCTATATAAAGCGTCCCCTTAGCCGAGCCCCTTTCGCGATGGTGATCCACCGAGGGTCAAGCCTCCCCGACTCAGAACCCATG